GGCCACTAAGTCAGTCTCATACTTAAGCGATGTACATTCATGAGGTGATATCTTAGAGTTGATATGAAGGTGGAGCTCCTTGTCTCGTAGAACTCCTTAGCTATTGGCTCATCAAACTGCCTTGGAGCTCACAACGTGCTCACAAGCCTTGCCGAACCTGGCGATGGCGATCGGGAGCGGATACCATGGTGGGTTTGGCAGCTGTGAGGAAGGGGTCGTAACGTACGGGGGCGGCACGGACGTAGCGCTCGAAGCGGAATAGGGGACGACCCCAGCGGCTCATTGGCGTGATGATGGAGGGGGCTTTATGTGCAAGGCTTTTCCCAGAATTATTCTTCAGCTGGGTTCCCGGGCGATCCGCATTCATCCATCATTTCCTCCCGTGGGGTGACATTTTACTTTACCGCTTCTCCATTCCAAGGGGACACTTTAAGTTTGGCCCTCGTCTGTTTCTCGAACAGAGTTAAATCGTCCAGGGGAAAAGCGAAACCGTTGTTTTCAAAACTCCCATCTCTCTTTTTACTTCTCCCACCGGGAACTGACGGCTGACGGCAGACGGCCTGCCGATCCCGCGATCCCCTTTTCCAATGACGTCGCGTCCGTCAACTACCGGCGGTTCCAGTACCGCGGACTCGGGACCGGCCACCGAGACCCCCTCTAGTGCCGGTCCAGTCCAAACACCAACCCCTTTGACTAGCAGCACGGGAGCGACGACACCTCCCCGTGCCGTAGCACCGACCAGCATCCAGTATTTGCTGAATCCGGCGGCAGATCAGACCTTGACGCCGCTTCAAGTCGACGTAAGCTCATCACCGCCAGGACCCTCTCCCTCTGGAGACTCTTGAGACAGGATGCAAGGCCATGTGCACTAACGTTACCTTGTGCCCCCTTATTACAGACCGAGATTACAAACCCCGGCGAAGATCATGACTCGGCCTACGGCTCCGATGCTGGCAGCGCTTACACGGCCTCCATAGCATCCTCCATCTTCCACTACCAGTACGAGAACGGGCGGCGGTACCACGCCTACCGCGAGGGGCAATACGTGCTTCCCAATGACGACCAAGAGCAAGAACGTCTCGACTTGCAGCACCACATCTGGCGTCTCCTCCTTGGAGGCCAGCTTTACACCGCGCCACTCCCCGCACCAGAGGATCCGGCGGCCTCTGGTATGAGGATCCTTGACCTCGGTACAGGGACGGGAATTTGGGCCATAGAGATGGCAGATGAATTTCCAACGGCTGACGTATACGGTGTCGATCTCTCGCCCATTCAACCGGAATGGGTTCCTACGAACTGCAAATTCCATGTCGATGACTACGAGGACGAGTGGACATACCGCGAGGAGGAGCACTTCGACTACATTCACGGCCGCGCCCTTAGCGGAACGTCCTCTGACTGGGCAAGATTTTACAGCCGTGTCATGGGTGGTTTGAAGCCAGGCGGATGGGTTGAAATGCAAGAGTACGATGCATGGATCTTCAGCGACGACGATAGTTATGAGAGAGCGCTCTGGACGAAGGAATGGGTGACCAAGCTGGACGAGGCAAGTAAGATGTACGGGAAGCAAATCAACGTGGCAAGACATCACAAACAATGGATGATTGATGCCGGCTTTGAGGATGTTCAGGAACTTGTTTACAGGGTACGTGTTTTCAGCCACATGATACGCTAATGCCCTAGGAGATATGCTCACATCGCTTGTAGATACCCATCGGCCCGTGGGCGAAAGACCCGGCATTGAAAGAGCTTGGTCGCTGCGAACTGGTTCATATGCAGATGTCCGTCGACTCTCACACTCCGGCCCTGTTCACGAGAGTACTGAACTACTCTCACGACCAGGCCAGAGTGCTGATGGAGGGTGTCAAACGAGAGTTCCGTAGCAAGGACTACAGGCTCATCACAAGTTATCGGTTTGTCACGGGAAGAAAGCCGATGGCATGATGATGAGTTATTGACATGAAGGTATCGTCAATCGCTTGCTCCTTGCAGCATTGGTAAGCCGATTGAGGAGTTGGGGTTACTTTTGTGGCGAAAACTATGGGATCGGCGTATTGAAGCTCATCTATGTATCGAGCAAGAGCGATTCTTGGAGTAAGGGACATATCCGAATCAACACAAAGACGCTTTTTGATGTGCCCTCGATTCTCAACGCGTTGCAGAACCAGGAAATCAGTGAGATGACCGGGATCCGAGCAATAATTGTGGATGTTTCCCGTACCTTCAAAGTAGTGAGTCGTCAAAATAATGATTTCTGATCCACGCAAATGAAGCTGACTAGACTGACTTGATGCCAGTGCAATGACTCTCTCTCTCGGGTACTGTATTTAGGAGCTTGGAGATCACTCTCCCTTCTTCCTTCCTCCAAGTCTGTGAAATTACAACTAGAGGCTTGGAAGTCTAATGACGGACAGGCCTATTGCCATCAGCGCAGCAATATGCATGGGCGATCGGTACAACGACCCAAGTCGCCACATGTAGTAAGCGAGTGCCCGACAACCGGGTCGATGTTTCTTTGACAGAAGCATCTAATTCTCCAAGGTACCAAATGGCCGGATCCGTGAGCCAGTTTCCTCGTGAAGCCCCGATGCACGAAAAGAGGGGTTACATATCATGTTCTCCCAGCCCACCTTTCACGCCGTTCTCCCGCAGGACGATCTTACCCGAACCCGTCGCGTATTGCGCTCGGCGTCATTCCGCAATGTTCCAAAAGAGTCTGTATGGTGTCCAACGGCATCAAATGCTCTTCCTCGGTCGGCCAACAACGTCTAGCAATCAAGCAACCAGAGCCCGACTCATGTACTCAGAGCCAACGGGAGAGCAAAGGGACCTTTGAGTCGCCGGGCGTGGGCTGGACCCCTCGTTTCGATATGCAGGATGGCTGTTTGCCTACCAGGGGGTCATTCACGGCCAATCAAATCCCCGCATTTCCTCTCATTGTTGGTGCGAGTTGCCCTGTCAGATATCAAAAGCGTGTTGGTTCGCCGTTGGGCCACAGGAACGGACATTCCTCCGAAAGTCTCCACGATTTCCGCCTTTCCACCGGTTCTCCCACCTCCGTTGCGGAGTTCATTCGGCCTCATGTCATAACACAAAAAGAAGTAGTCTCGCCATAATAGTCTCTTTACGCTCAAAAAACCCCTTGTAACCTTAATTCTCAAGCTTTCGTCGCATTTGTCTACCCGATTTTCTTAAAGGCTCGCCAAATTGGCAGACCTAGTCTGTTGATCGTCTATCGTGCCACCCATCGACCATGTCGGTCCCAGCGGCGCCACAGCCTCCAGCCTCCCTAGAGGCTGATGAAATACCGGATGATGTCTCCATGACGACGTCCGTTGATGAGGAAAGCGAGCTTGAGTCGGACGGCGAGGAGTCGGACCTCGACTCGTCCTTAGGCGCTGAGGTGCAACCTTCCACAATGTCTCTGCGCAGCAGCATACTCCGTTACCGAGAGGAGAATGGCCGCACATACCACGCCTACAAGGACGGTGCCTATCTCTTCCCTAATGACGACCTCGAACTCGATCGCCTAGATCTCCAGCACAACCTATGTCTACTCACCCTCGGCGACAAGCTGCATCTGTCCCCGTTGAGTAAAGACCGGCCACCTCAGCGGGTTTTGGACGTCGGTACAGGGACAGGAATCTGGGCGATTGACTTTGCGGACGAGAACCCCGGCTCGACTATCATCGGCGTGGACTTGAGCCCGGTGCAACCTTCATACGTTCCGCCTAACGTCTACTTCCAGATTGATGATATTGAAGACGAACCTTGGACTTTTTCACAAAAGTTTGATTTCATTTACAGCCGGATGAATACGGGCGGTATCAGGGACTTCCCCAAGTTGTTCCGGCAGTCATTCACAAATCTGAATCCAGGAGGCTGGTTCGAGTGTGCCGATGGAGCGCAAGCCATGTCTGATGATGGCACATTGACAAAAGAGTCAGCACTTTATCAATGGAACCAGTTCCTTTTCCAAGGGACAGGGGAGCGGGGGACACCCTTTGGTGGAGCAACACATTACAAGCGACAGCTTCGAGAGGCAGGGTTCGTGGATGTGAAGGAGGTTATCTTCAAATGGCCGACAAATAGGTGGGCAAAACATCCACGGCACAAGGAGCTTGGTAAGTGAAGCAGACTCTCCAGTTCTCAGACCAGTTGGAGGCCAAACTTTTGTACCGCGGCGTATTACCAATTTGCCATTTAGCTATGAGACCTATTTGGACACTGACAATATGATCAGGTTCATGGAACCACGAGAATGTGATGATGGGGCTGGAGGGCCTCAGTGTTGGGCTGTTTACCCGGATTCTCGGATGGTCAAGAGAGAGCGTTGATGTTTTCCTTGCAGAAGTTCGAAAGGATTTGAGCAACACGGCGATTCATGCGTATTGGCCAGTGTACGTACCAGATCACAAGCGACCTGCAAAGCTGTACTAACCTCAATTACAGTCATGTCGTATACGGACAAAAGCCATCATAGCGAAGGAGTTGCATTCCATGATAACGAATCACGCCATATAAAAGTTTCTCGCATTCTTTCACCTGGAGTTGGATCTTGACGGCATCGCTCATACATTAGACTTTCTTAGAACACGTTTGTCTGTATATAAGGTAGTGCGGGTATATATGGATGTATACGATAATCCTTCCTGCTGTTTATCAATGTTACTCTCAATCCTCACCACTCAGACTACGTAAAACAAGGATATCTCATGTGAAAACGCTTGTGGACCTCAAAGTCCCGCTTGCTGCTTTAACTAACACTGCTAACCCTCTGGGACTCATTCCAGTAGGTAGGCCTGGGCCTCTGCTCACTGAGAGGCTGGTAAAGCCTCTGCCCTAGTGATCATCTTGGGTTGAGTGGTTTAAGGACACTGAATACGTTAGATTGCAACCACAGATTGAAACCGGCAGCGAGCCGATGACTTACACATTCGACGAACTAAGACCACACTTGTCAACTTTGGCTCCATCACGCGATGACAGGTTACGATTACTTACACCTCTTCCTCCAAGGCACGATTGGAGAACTGGACGTCCGTTGCCAGGATACGAACAAGTTCGCGGAATAGGAAAGTTACTGGATGTCTTGACGTTCGCACCCTCTTGACACTGTGTGGACATGGTGAGCAAAGGACAGGGACAAGGCTTCAGAAATCTTACGCAGTATGTGTTAGGCTGCAAGTCATTATTAGTGCTGTCTCTCAAAAATCGACTTGAGGGATCTTAAACGTACGTAGGCTCCAGGGCACGTTGATCCCGCCGGCTTGCCCCATCCGTAATTGCAGACAGCAGCGTTAGAAGACGCGGCAAGGGCCACGATGACGGCGGTGATGTACTTCATTGTGAGCTTCGGCGGAGCCTGGATAAGCAGAAAATACGCTATTGAAACTCGATGGTTGTAAGACGCGAAGAGAGATATCGGATTGGTGATCCAAGAAATACCACAACACATTCAGTACACTGATTCTACATTTCTTTTAATATTCATTGAGGCAGAGGATCTTCATCATATAGTAGTCTCACTAAATTAATTATATTAAAGCGTTCATCAAACCATGGGCCAAAGCGGGCGACCCCGAGTCAGTTCATGGCTGTAATACGCGTTCTTTCCATATTTGCTTCGTTTTCGGCAACGACGGTCCGCTGCCTGAGTCCGAACCAGGTGAGTAGCTATCAATTGCGCATGTCAAATAGTCAGTATTTTCAGACCATGGGCAAGGCTTGATGATAATACAGTCTCATTCATGCTCGCATTCGCACCCATGTCTGACACGCCTTCTTAGTATTATTCGTACACGCCACGAGGACAACGAAGAGGGCCGGCCGGTCGCATCCCACCGGCATATTGGCAAGTGAGCGCGCTTCCCGTGGGTGGATTCCGCGGCCGTTTTTCTCAGTATAGCGGGCTTTGCCAAGCTGCCGTCCTCGGTCCTAATTTGAACTTGGATTAGACCAGTAAATGAATGCCGATCAGAACCTCAATGGGTTTCCTTTCCTACGAAACCTGTGACTCTTGTCCCATGAATCTGTTTTCGATCTCGTCGCTAGAATTCTTTCCGGTCGAGAGCATGGATGCTAATCATGACCAGGATGGCAACTCTTTACTAGGAGGTCCCGATGGAAAGTCGTGGATCGAATTATTCGGCGCGGAAATTGGAACCTAAACCACATCGCAAGTTGGGCAGTTGAACCTTCAGCCTGACAGCCAATAGCAAGGTTGACATTTGACAGAATGGTCCGAGGTGGGCGGAGTACCTTAGATAGTAGAAGAACAGCGAGTCCGATATCAACAACCTGCTCAGACGAACCACCCAGGCCAGCACTACCTTTCATTCGGTACTATGTGGACTATGCGTACCTTGGATCTTTGGAGCGGCCCAGGCTCTGCAAAATAGGAGATTCAAGATCCCTGGCTTTTCCGACTCGGGTCTCTATGCCAGTCTAACCACCGAGTAATACGGATATCTCGGCAACATCGGGAACCAGTTGGAGCAGCCATATCCACGTCCAGGGCCTGATTTCACCTTACCCTGGACACTCGGATAGGGAAGTGGATGGCTTGTATTGATCGTGTCACTCTGGGTAATGCATAAGTTTCATATTTTCGAGGTCCTGATTGCCATGGATTCTTCCCTCTCGTCCATTACAGCCATGCCAGTACTGTTGACATCTGATAGGTATTCTGTACAATAGTGTCAATCTCTACATAGACTTTGATTATCAACCGCAACTCTTGTCACTAGCCGGCTACATCAAATCATCAAGCTACTTATCTACTCGCACGCACAAAACTTGGTTAGATGTTATGCTTGATATCTAAAGTCATCAAGCATACTCTCCAATTTTTGAGCCAGGTTCCTATCTTTGGACATAGGCAGAGAGCGGGAAGCTCTTCCAGTCCGTCTGCCACGAATGCCTCGTTTCCGGTTCGCTGCCTTCAGCTAGCGGCCAGAGTTCGCGAAATACCTCATGCAATAGACCGTCAAGCAAGTAAGGCACCATGCCAGCTGTAGCTCTCCAAGTGTTAAACTTGTCCTCAACCACTAGTGCAGACACCTCCGATTTATGGTCGAAACTATGGTCGCGTCGAACGTCCCAAGGCCGACCAAGGATGCTGCAGAAAGCTTCCACTTCTCCTCTTCTTCCCTGAAGCTGTTCCGCCCACAACCAATCGTTAACCCGCAACTCTAGTTCTTTCAAGTTTTGATGCTGGGAAGCTCCTCCCTCTGTCGAGATGGCGTGGAAGATTGCTCTAGCCAGCGTCTCATCCACCGCCACGTTGATGAGTAGGTCCCGGTATTCTTCTCGATCGCCTGGGTTCAATCTGTCCACGGAAGATTCTCCATTCATTTCCCTAGGCGCCACAGTCGCTGTTGTAGAGAGTGTCCTACGGCCCTGGGGAAACTGCCATCCTCGTTGCATGGGCATGAGACGTAGAGATAACTTTCGAAGGCGTCGCATTTTACCGAGCGCCGCGTAAACAGCCATCTCTTCTTCATCTCCCTTGGAGCGCCGCACCCTAATGGCTAGGTCCTCGAGCAAGGGCCAGCGCTGCGCAATGAGAGCAATGACCCGGGCGTTGAATGGGTCTGTGGTATACCGGTTGCTCTGCAAATCCAAAGTTCGCAATGCGAAGCTGCAAGACGGGCTGAACAGATGACTCCCAAGATGGAAACCATTCCAGCCGATTATCTCCAGCGTGCACAGCTTCGTGCGTCGATCGATAAACCGCGTGATTAGTTTCTCCTGCTTATATTTCGGGTCGTCCGTCGAAGACAAGTTGAAGATGTTCAAAAACAGGTTCCTGAGGGATGGAAATGAGTAGGTGTCCAGGAGTTCAAGGCCCTGGGGCCCCAGAGGTTCTGGCAGTCTGAGAACTCGTAGAGCGTCAAAGTCAATAAAGCGGCCCCATTCGTGAAGGAGGCTGTAGTCTGATAGCTCCGGATCCCATGCTAAGTGGAAAGTTTGCAATGACGCGCGGTGCTGCGGATAGCGTTGTTCGAAACCCTTCGCGCCACTCCAGGCGGCCTCATGTAACTCATCGGGGTAGTCCTGATCGGATTCGTATGCGACGCGCACTTCCTGTAGCCTTGGTGCCGTCCTAGTAACCATCCGCATTACAGTCGTATTGAGCTGGTTCACGACCGGATAAACATAAAAATGCGAGCAGTTGATGCTGTAAAGGTTCGGAGAATGCACAAGGTCAAGTTCGTATTTGTCCGGATGTATATCCCGTAACGAGAGTAGGTTGAAAGTGGGTAGATGAATTCTGCATCTAGGGTGGTATTGCTTCAAGGTGGCGAACAGTGAGGGAGGGAATTGAGTAGGACATGTGAAGAGGATGTCAGTCAAGTTGGACAGTTCTTTGATGAGCCTGGCCATTGGTGACCAAGCTGAACTACTATCGTAGGTCCACTGACAGTTAGCATACTCTTCCCAATAGTTACGCCTACCCACTAGGTTGCAGTCGTCCATCTTTCTTGCGTCGTCTTCAGCCACCTCGGCGGCAAACACGCGACCTTGTTTCCACCCGGACTGACGTGGATCGTAACGGCTCTCTTTCAAGTAAGGACCGTTCGCATAGTTCTTTCCGGGTGTTGGTGGCTCGCCCCAGATGGAGATCTGGCGGACTTGAGACAAGAGATCGTTTTTGCGAAGCATTAGTTCGCAACTCAGGGTACTGAGTTGCAGGCTGTGCCAGGCGCCTGGGAAAAATTGATGTTGCGAAACAAGACGCCGATGGCAGCGTCACGGCATGTCTTGTTGGCTGTCGATAACGAGGCGAGACTTGGAGCGCAAGCGTCATAGTACAGAATCTCGCAGATGTTGACTAAGAGCTCTCGCGGTACAGTATCCAGAGTCCATTTGAGACGAGGCATCTTTACAGATTGAAAAGGCGATAGTTTGACTCCCCAAGAGACACATCAAACGGATTGCGACGTTATGGACAAGATATCTGCTTCAAAGGGAGGCAAGTTTTGTTTGGTGAAAAACTGCAACATGTGCGCTGAATCAGATGAACCTTCTTCCATCATGCAATACTTATGAGGGTGGACGGCGCTTGGCCCAGCTAGGTTAGCCCCTGCATTCGAGGTTTGACTTTGATCAAGTCGCCAACCAAATCCCAACCACCTGGTGGATCGCCACACCGCCAGAAGCCACAACTTGAGTGCAGCAAGCTCACCACTTCACGACACGACTCAAAAATAGGACGTTCACTCTACAGAATGAATTGAAGATTGGCTGGCTTTCACTGAAGCAGAGCGTCTGTCTAGGCAAGAGTTTGTATCCGCAAGAGGGGGTGCTTTGGCATGCTATTCAGTCACAATCAACACGAATACGAGGGTCGGTCAAAGATAACATCAACACTGAGCGTAGGCAACTATCACCAGAGACAAAAGTGAATGAGGTCCATCCAGGATTCGAACCTGGGCCTACGGAAGGTTCTGAGAATCAGAATCCGACGTCCTAACCAACTAGACTAATAGACCGAACGGAGCGAGATCGATACCCGCTGGTTCTGTGGGCTCCGGGAGCGCTTCCGCAACCCAAGTTTGGTGGGAGTCAGGCGAATCGAAATTGGAGCTGTGGTGGAGACAAGGACAACTAACAACCTGAACTTCCACCTGAAATCACTTGGAAGACAAGCCATGACATTGTGCTTGGATTGTGTCAAGTCATTCGAAGCTTTCTACATCAATCAGGTTGCCGCCAGGAGGTAGGTGATTTCGGCGAAGTACGGTCATGATAAGATTGATGGTTTCGGATTGACTTAGCTACGTTTTCCTGCTTAAAAGTCTCATCTATACCATCGAAGTTTACGCGATGCAGACCACTAGGATCTACTACTCTCTTCAAGCCAAAAGAAGGCCAATAGGTGCCGGTTGCTGTAGTAAAATACTAGGTCCAGCCACGACCGTATCCGACTCGGGAGCTCCTAGACAATCTGCCAGCACGGCAATGATGATTCCCTTGGTCTCGAACTCGGCAGGGATTGTCACGTTGACAAGATCGCCAACTTTCCATCCTGAAACATCAACCGACACACTGGTGTTCCCAACGGCGTGGGAAAAGACCGCGTAATAGCTCTTTCCATCGTCAAATTTGGGCTGATCAGCGGCGTTCGTGAAATTGAACGAAACTTGGGCCCCCGGAGCAATAGACTTTGTCCCAGTCGCGGCCGACATGGCCGGAAGGTGCTGATTCGGGCTGGGGTACTCTGGGTTTGCTGACGGACAACTTCCCGGCACAATAAAGGCGTTTGTCAAGTCGAGAATCTCGTTGGCGTAGGGGAACACGGTATCGCTCGGTCCAGAGAACGGGTTCGCCCCCCAGACGTCC